TATATTCTTTTCTTATTTGTATTAATTAGTTTTGATAGTAAAGCAATAGTTGTTGCTAGTCATAATGAAGTTATAGTTGTTGCTAATTATAATGATAAAGTTGTGGTTGTTGTTGATCATAATAGTAAAACTGTGATTATTGCTGGTTATGATAGTGTATTGCTTTTTTATTATTTATTACAGAACTTTTAAATAGTTTTAAAAGTTTTGATTTCATATTAGGAATCATTTTTTTCTTTAAAAGTCTATTTAAATAATAAAAGAAGTAAATAAATAAAATTAATTTATAATTAAGCAATAAAAAAACTTACTAAAAATTGATATTTGTGGGGTGAAATTTAAAGATTTTTAACTTGAATTTAATGTACTTATTATTTCAATATCTGAAAAATAAGTAAATTATTAAATTGTTAATATTTTTTTTAATAGTTTATACTAATCTAATTTTTCATTATCATTAAATTCGTAATCAATATAAGAATCTTTCAAGAATATATAAAATAATTCAAAGTCTTTATTGTATATTATATATGAAATTAATAATACTATAGAAGATAAATATTGATCATTAGTTGAACTGCTATAAGCCTGAATATCTTTATAAAACTAATATTTTGAAAATATTATTGCTTTATCTTTAAAGATATTAAAAGTTTTTAATATCATAATTGTAGTATGACAAGCACTATTATTATTATTTTTCTTTTATCAAAATTTATTCCTGTATTGATTACTATCTGCTGCATCATTTATTTTAATTTGTTTTTAACCATTTAAGATTTCTTATACTAGATACCATCTCTTATTTCTAAAAAAAAAAGCAAACTTTAGTTTTTAATAATTCAAATAAAAAAAAAATTAAAAATCTATAATTGCCAAATTGTTTTCTAGTATATTGCAAAAATAATACATTTGTAGTTTCATACTTATATGAATGTTTTAATAAATATAAAAGAAGATCTTTAATAGATATAAATTAATTATCAATATGATTTAGAAAAATTAGAATAAATCATATAGTACATCACTCTAGTTATTTTTTTATAGAAAATCTTAATTGCAGGCTACTATTATTTTATCTTTTAAAATCACAATATTCTACTCTATACATATCACTGCCTCTTAATCTACAAAGCATTAATAGCCAAAAGAAAACTTTTCTAATCAAGTTTTCATTATTTTCAATTAAAAGATAATCATAGTTAAAACAAAATATAATTTTTTCTAATATTAGATAATTATTTTTATTGTATTACTATAATTAGCATTTTGCAAAAACTTTATTTTTCTAAAATACTCTAAAAAATGAATACTTATCCTAAAGTTAAACATTATTTATAACAGAGTTTTTATAATGATATCTTGCAAAAGCAGTATAACAATTATAGATTAACTTAACTTTAAATAGTATACTATTTTTTTTTATATCAATCAAGAAATAAGCATACAAATATATCAAGTTCTTCTTTATTATTAAACTAGTTTAATATCTTTGTAATACTTTTTTCTTTACAGTATTTATCAACATGTTGAAGCCACTTTAATTGATAATCCACTAGTCAATCAGAAAATTTTATGACACAGATCATATATGAGTAAAACTTAAATTAAAAATTTTGACCTATAAGTAAAGTTATAAAATTTTTAAGCAAATATGATATTGAAGTAATACAAGCAATAGAGCAATACTATAAGCTTTTGATTATGAAATTATTAAATATCAAATTTTTTTTGACAGACTTTACTTTGTAAATACACAATATTTACTAAAATAAACTATATATTAATTAGATCTATAAGTTTAATGACCTTATGATTTTAGTTTATTTTAAAACATATTTGTTAATATTTTTTAACTTTTAGGTTTTAAAAATATAATACATTTAAAAATAATAGCAATTGTGAGATTT